GAAAAGAAAAGTGTATTCTACAAGCACCCATAAATACAAGGTAGACAAGCACGATGATAGCAGCGACCTTGGGAGGGCCACAAAAATAACGTCCTAAACTAATCCATCAACCAATGACAGTCAAGGATTTTCGGAGTGAGAAATTTAAGCTCAAGGTCAACTAAGCGCCTTATGCGCGAAAACACGAAAAATTCAAAGTTTCAAAATAAATTACCAAATTAGGACCTTTTCCAAGTGAGTTCTGAGATTCTAACGTTCCCAGCAGTTTTATCTTCCATGATTGACGACAAACTTATCTGAAAAAAGTCAAACAGAATGAAAGTTAGGTTTAAAGTTTTCTGCTTTCTGTCTCTAGTTGTCTAAAAATGAAATACATTGAGCGTACTATCAAATCATCTGCAATCATGTCTGCTCTACAACTTGATTGATAGAATCTCTCTCCGATAACACAAAAAACATGATATTGGTCATTACTCAAAGATCAGTCAATTTAAGTGTTTCACTGTTACAAGAGGCTTGTCGATGCCCCGATAACTCAGTGATAACGACCACTTCTGATCGGCTCTCAATACCACAAGGAACAAATGTTTTGTCCGAGTTTGAAACTGCTTAGTAGCGCATACTTACTAAACATTAGAGGATTCGAATACAACTTCGTAACTACTATGATCATATTCATAGTAACTCAGTCAAGTCGGTAATGTGTACTGCTCTAAATAAATCTAGTGTTCTGTAAGTCATATGACCACCATGAGACATAAAGATTATAAGTTCAATGGCAGACGAAATCATATTTGAAATAAATTCACACTTCATTGTTATTCGCGTTTTATTGAAATTCTATACATAGAATTGTACTGTTGTGATCGATACTACTCGCAACACAGCTTGTTAGTAGTATGCACTGAAGTGTTCCTTGGCCTTCTTATTTTCCTTTGACCTTGAGGGTTCTATATGAGGGATTATCTTGTGACGCAGTTCGGTGCTTTTCTCAGTGTGTATCCTATCCACTTCCACCGCTTCTTCCCGATTTCCTTCTCCATTGGAATCTAGTTTGTTCTCTCCCACAGTAAGTTATTGCTGATAGTGTCTGGCCAACGAATCCGAAGTATTTTGCGAAGACAACTGTTCATGTGTACATAGTAAAGGCATGTAATAACATTTTTTTCACCTAAACAATATGAAAACATTGAAATATATTTCCAAAAAGCAAATTACCTGTAACTACCTGAAAATTTTGCAACGTGTAACTCAACACTTTTATCATCGTTTATTTTTCGTGAATTGCAGAGTGGATCGATAAATAAAAATGTATTTTCTTTTACGTCTTGTTTGTACATGGATAAGCACTAATAGTGATGTCCTTAAAGTTTACTAATATTCACAACTTCTCACAGGTAGTTTTTGTGATAAATAAACTTTGCAATAAATTTATGTTAAGATTTTAATTATATTTTTTGGTTAATTAAAAAATTTTTAAAATCTTATAGCCTAGCAGCATATGGCTACTTGTTTTGATGGCAAAACGTTTGTGAGTAAAAACTCTACTCGCTTGGACAGATTTGGGCTACCTGTTTTTTCTTGATATTACAACATATTTCAACAAGTTACAACTTCCTGTTTCTTTTGCCTAGTCAGTTTTATCTATTGATTACATTATATTACTGTTGAGGAGTCCCATACCAGGACGAAACGGCCATCTTTCAGTGCTTCATCCAAGTTTCTAATGGTGCTCTAACATTGATCGATTCATGGTTTCAAAAGAATGTGTAACTTGACAAATCTTCACAACCATGTAATGCAAATTACCTGTGCTCACTAGTGACTAGCTTCGTGAAGAATCTTCTCCCGAGTGCTAGTGGGAAGACGTGACCAGTGAAGTTCAACCTGTTCGGGTGTAGACAATAACTAATACCGAAGACTGTGTGAGGTTGCGCAACTACGTGAATTGATCAAGTTAGACATTAACACCGTTAAGTACCAGGTCAGTGGTCCGATGGTTAGGCGTTCGCCTACAATACCGAAGGTCCTGGGTTCGTATCCTGCGAGGTGCAGGAGTCGTGGATGCGCACTGCGACTGAGGAGTCCCATACCAGGACGGAACGGCCGTCTTTCAGTGCTTCGAGGTTTCTAATGGTGGTCTAACATTGATCGATTCATGGTTTCAAAGATGTGCAACTTAACAAATCTTCACAACCCCGTAATGCTTATTACATAATGCATTCAGACTTGTAGATTAAACGTTTACATGCTGTCAGTTCACAAGATGCAACATGTACAATTAAAGAAAGCGTAGTAGTTGGCAGTTTACTGAGAACACATTGAACATTGAACAAGATATTGATTCTTGTTTACCTGTTTACTTCTCACAGACAATCATCGATCATTGTTTAGTGAAAGCAGCCTGCTAAAATTGTACTTGCGGAGAATTGCATCTTATCCTACACATATGATATTGAACACATTTACTTACTTTTTACTTACGCCTGTTACCCCCTAATGGAACATAGGCTGCTAACTAATATTCTCCAACCTACTCTGTCTTGGGCTTTGTAGGATACAAACTGAGGTTTGGATTGAGGAATAACTGTCTAGGTAGGTTAGGTACGCGCTATCGCCCAGTTTGAAAACCAAAACAAGTGATTTGGTAAATCACGGTTCTAATATTCATCACAAATATACAGGTACATCATTACCTAAACAAATATTAACACTCAGTTATTCCACCAACAATTGTTCAATTATTCAAATAAATGATATTGTATCCCTCCTAGATATATCAAATTCGTTCGAAAGATAATATTTGGTCGCTTTATAACACAAAGTGTTTCCTATTCCGAAAGAGTGCTTCAATTCACAATCGTAATGCATAATTCCAGTCAAAGCGAGCAACACAATCAAATGAGGAATTAAACAATATGGCTGTTGCTGTGACTAAGCATCAGCTTAAACAACATAAATGCAGTTCAGAAGACGTGGCCAATGGCAGTAACTACCAAAGACAAATGGGTGAGGTCGCGTAAAATCCTTAGATCAATCAGAGTTAGACATTAACACCATTGGATCCCGGCCCAGTGGTCCGATGGTTAGGCGTTCGCGCACAATACCGAAGGTCCCGGGTTCGGATCCTGCGGGGTGCAGGAGTCGTGGATGCGCACTGCTGAGGAGTCCTATAACAAGGACAAAACGGCCATCCAGTGCTTCCAGGTTTCTAATGGTGGTCTAACAATGATTGATTGACCGATGATTTCGAATGTGTAAAAACACAAATCACCAAAACTCTAGCTGAAAATACCAGAAAGAAAGAGAAATTCAGTAAAGGCAGAAGAAACAGATACTAACATAAAATACAAATATTATCATTTCAAAATAGTATCGAACAGATTAACAAAATGTACAACTGAATGAATCAATTAGGGACAAATTACAAATGTGGCGATGGAGGGATTTTCCCTAAACAAAGCATTCAAAAAATGAATCTCACAGGCTTTCCTTTCCAGTTCTGTCTAATTTACGTTCACTCTTCCCATATCTTTCTCTATTTCTCGGCGTAATATGTCGCTTGGCCTTCCTCCTCTTCTTTGACCTTCAGGGTTTCATGTGAGGGTTTGTCTTGTGATTCATTTGGGTGCTTTCCACAGTATGTGTGTGGAATGGAGATCCCTTGATGATTTTGGTTGATGAATACGTCATTTTGTGTGTGTCACTTAATTTGCGAGTATCTTTAAATGTCCTTGTACAATCTCAAGTGCGGATAGTCCTATCTCCCTCTCTTCAAATACAATCCTATGGTCATGTGTATATAATCACTTCACTCTCAGTGAACTCTTAGTCAGGGTTTTGTGTTACGATATTGACAGAACAAACAGAAAATATCCAGTGCTTGAATTGAGTTTCTGAGTATGGAAGATTCACCTTGAAGAACTCGAAACTTCATGATTTGAAACCATTGGTGCGCATATAAGCCACAGTCGGCTGAGAATAATAATAATGACACGTGACCTTACTGTTAATCACTGGATTTTATGAAACTGAACCTTTTAACATTGCCCCACTACATTATAGACTAGACTCACGGAATGGTCCTCTAGAAAATAACGTCTAACTTTAGAGACTCCTCCTCAAATTCCTCATCGACACAATCCATTAATCTCCCTAAAAAGAATCCCTTGAAATCTTTATAATCATGTGGGATTTACTGACTTTTCAAATGGAAACACTTAGCTTACTGATGATAACGAGTCATAAGCATGTTGCATTACAAACAAACAGTTTATGAAAAAGATAGCGAATAAAACCAAGTTAAAACATCTCAGTATCAAGAACATTATCCCGTTTGATACTAAACTATAAGTCCTTGATTTTCGTAAAATACTTTGAAAACAATTTTATTTCAACAATTATTTCACAAAACCTTTGACACACAATAGACGTTCACAGTGTAGGATACACTATCATAATTCAAGAGATTAAGTGTTTGCAGGCAAAACCGACAGTCCTGCATTCGATTCCCGTAAGGAGGAGTGGATAAGTGTTATACTAAGACGAAAAGGTTGTCCAATGGTGTCAAAGTTTCAAATGGTAGTCTCTAACATTGATCAACTCATTGTTCCCATGTTATTATTCATGTCAAAATCAATAAACTCTTCGGTGCTCATTGTTAATTAAATTTCTTATTTTTTTAATGATTTAATTAACGATTATTGACATTATTCTTCAAAACATGCAATAAACACGTGCAAACCAATGACAATAACACGTCTTATTGTCCCAATTGTAAATTGTCCAATCACAAAAACTTATTCTAACCTTCTTCTTCTTCTATACAACATGTCACTGTTTCACCAATCAATACCAACAACCAATGAAAACAAAGATTCTATGCGTTGATTTGATTGGCTACTATTGACAAAATTAAAAATATTTTCCCTGTATTTGATTGGTTGTTTTCTTTGTATATACATATATAGTAAGTCGTCTTCGCGAGAATCATGTTGGTACTATTGTGATAATTCGTTCAATGTATTTATATATTGACTGATTTAAACAAATTCACATTTTCTTACCAAAAACAAAAATATTTCATTCAGGATTAATCAATTTCTATTGTGTGTGGATTCTTATAATATGATGGATTTATTCAATATTACCTAACTATTCACAATTGAACATTGTACATTGGACTACAAGATTAAAACAAAACGAGAAAGGAGAAAAAAAAATTATGCTTGCTGACGGTGAATACGTCGATGGTTCATGGTTATTATCTGTACATATTGATGATTTAAATATTGATCGTCAAATACGTGTTCATGGTGATTGGTCTATAGGAGAAGTAATTTCACAGCTAACCGATGGTTTAACATGTCCACTACCAAATAAACCACTTCAGTCGAATGAGATTAGTTTACGTTCGAATACTTCAAAAATTAGTTGGGCTGATTATGGTTTATGGTGGCCAGCGAAATCAAAATGGCTTTTAAAAACAAAATTAAGTCTTAATCAATATGGTTTGCAAGCTGATGCTAAACTGCGATTTTTATCAATCTATGGTAGTTTAAGCATTCAGCTGCCTGATTTACAAATTCGACAATTTGTTGATGTAAATTTTGCTGAACCAGTTTTTCGTGTTACTCTATCCATATGTCGTTATTTAAATATACGACATCCTGAAGAATTATCTTTAGCTTATCCTATTCAACAAAATGATTTGAAACATTCACGTTTCGCGCCAAATTATATCGTGGATAAACGTTATCATACATTGTCCAACACAGGAAAACGTTCAACATTTCAACGTAGTGCTACGATCAGTACAACACATGGACAACACAATAAAACGTTACGTAAAGAATCGTTATTTCAAATCAATGAAAATTCACAAGTGAAAAATGATTATTTATCATCAGAGGAGAAGAAAAATTCCATCTCATCAAGACATTCAATACATTTATTCGGTCCACCAATAATACGTGATAAACGACGTGTACATGCCAATTGTCATGTCACCACGAATCGATATTCATATCCAAATGCAGAAACTTTTTGTCAACTGACTTATTCACCTGTGACATTTGATTTTCGTTTATTAAATGATTCCACGTTGGCATTTAGTCCACAAATTCATGTTAATGATGCTTTACATAATGGTTATATTGTAAGACCAATTAATTTTTTACAACGTGTACGATTACAAACAATTTGGTTAGATTCATCGAAATCATTATTAGAACAAGGTATCAATAAGTTGGATTCGAATTTGAATTTGAATTCACCGCCAATTAATACTACTACTAATAATCATAATCGATCGAATTCAGTAGTATTAACAGGAAATAAACGAATTGATGATGATGATGATCAGAAGGCAAATGTTGCTGATGTTGACGAACAACAGGAAGTTGAGGAGCAGAAGAAGAAGGGAGAACTAACGCCGAAATTAATGTTACGTTTTAAATATGGTACATTTTATGATTTAAACATAAAATATGATTTAATACGTATAAATCAGTTATATGAACAAGCAAAATGGTCAATTATATCAGAAATTTATGAAGTTACTGATGAAGAAGCATGCTTATTTGCTGCATTACAATCTCAAGTAAGTGAATTGATTGATTGATTAATTGTTTTAATGTCAGTTAGTCGGTCAGTCAGTTAGTCTGATGCAATGTAGAACTTCGTACGTAAGTACATCAGTGTTCATGTTGCCATACCACATTAGCACACAGAGATGCAAATGTCAAATCAAATCCAATAGTAGAAAAGGTTGTAAAGGTATTAGAAGTACTCGGAGAGGTTAGGATTAGAAGATATTATTCAAGAAGTATGATTCAGTGAGATAAGGTTAGAAAGACAAACGTAGAGGTTCTGACGAATCCAGAAGATTAGGATTTGAGAGAACACAAAGAATAAATGCACCGGCGCCATTGCAAAGGATATCTAACCATCGATTATTATCATCTCGTGGACCTCAACCAGGTAGCCAACAACTACCGACATGGCTCAGTCCACTTGTTAGCGAATTCATGGATCTGGCCGCCCCTGACTTTCTTCCAACCTACTCATACACCGCAAAACATAGCTCTTCGAGCCAGTCGGTGGTTAGGCAACCTGAACTGATGTACTGATGTACGTACAAAGTTCCGCTTTGTATCTGTCTGTCTGTGTGACTGAATTGACCAATACACGTCAATAAATTATTCGTAATTCTCTTCTCTTACGTGTTATATATATTTTATAAAATTAGATTTAACCGTATTGTAGTGTCTATTAACCCACTGGGCTCAGTCCTGGCCTTTGACCCAAATTAATCAGTCTATTTTCCTCGAATTATTCACATGCCTTCCGACGTTGTCTATTTTTTTAGCTCAATCCTTGGTAGTTTTTATTTGGGTGTGTGTGTGTGTGTGTTTGTGTTCATACTTACTTGGCTTATCGCCTGAAGTTTCTTCACTTATCTAATGTTTCATTTATCACAACTGAATATTCACCTAGAGTTAACAATATACTTTCTTCTTGTTGGAATTAATCGCCAACAAAAATTTGGTTTACGAATAGTTTATAAATGTATTTAAGTTGATTTCAGTTTCAAAAGTCAGCCTTGTGCTATGTTAAGAGTCTGAGAGATGATGTCACTTCCCAGTTGCCCACATCATGGAAGGATATTTCTTGAGGAAGCTGAATTAGACGCTGGGTTATCGTTGATCTTAGTGACCTCGGAACGTGACCGCAGACCCTAAGGAACAACTGCTTGAGGCCAGTCACGCATGACCTTCTTATAGTAAACTTTTAACGTATTAGCTCTGTTCTATAAAAAGCCTCACCACAGGGGACGGAAATTCATAGAGAATGTTGAAGCGTGACATTTTTACGGTCGATCTTTTCTAACTCCTTCCTTGAGTTATGAAAAGACAGCATCGGTGCAGGTGCTAGTTATCCAAGGAAAACACCTTACTGCTGTCACATCTCTCTACAGTCAACAGCAAGACATAGTCCTCAGACATTAAATTGCTGTTGCTTTTAGTTTCCACGTTCCTCAATCGATCATCCTTTCATGGTAAGATATAAAGGAACATATTCTCCAGCTAATACTGTTTGTTCTGTTGGGTCATGACGATAGCAAAGCTTAACCACCATGTCAATGTAGTAGAATTTGAAACTGTATCAATGAAACGACTCTTTTAGAGACTGATTTATTACAGTCGTGTAAATATCAGTGAAAAGATTCAAATTACCCGTACAAATGATATAATCTTCACTCCATTGAACAAATGAGTGGAGTTATGTGAACCTAATAGCTACGTATATTTAATACAATGACGTTTGTAGAGAAATGAGTATCAACTCTAAGATGTGACGAAACGAACATTATCACTGACTACTATCATCTAGATAGGTAGATGTAGACTACCTGGTTGGGGTCCTCGAGACGAAAGTCACCAATGGTTAGAGACCTTGAACGATATGGCTCAAAATCGCTTTCAATGGCGCAAGTGCATCCATTCATTGTGCTCTCTCAAATCTTAATCTTCTGGATTCGTCAACACTTTTGTCTACCTTTGTCCTTCTAATCTTATCTCACTGAATTATACTTCTTGAATCATATCTTCACTCCCTATGTAGTGGAGGAGAACACAGGTGAGGGCAACCGAATTGTATTTAACGAAAATTACAGAGTTACTCAGTAAAATAGGAAAACCATATCGTAAATCGTTAATTTGCAAAATATCAGTTCATCATATCGAACTGGACTGTTCCTGTTGCCAAAACATCAATCCATTGTCACTATTCATGCGTTTCATACAAATTCCATTGTGTTCCCACTCTTCCTTTCTTGATCTTCCCCCATCTTCTGCTGCCAGACATTACGTTTTTTTACTCGTGTCATATACTACTTATAAGTAGCGCTCACCACACCTAGTCTTCTTCATTACCATTAATACCTCTACTATCTCTATTTATCACTATGAGATTTGATTTGACATTTATGTCTCTGTGTTAATGCGGTATGGCAACATGAACACTGATATACATACATACGAAGTTCTACTAACTGACTGACTACCATCTATTTCTGCTTTGATTCAATTGTTGAATTGAATTTCATTATCTACTTCAAAGTATCAATGATCAATACCGGTGTGTTTTTTAAATAGGTATGTAATTTATTTGTTTTAATTATTGACTATGTAACTTTATAAATTACTTTCTTAGCTTTAACTATTTCTTAATGAATTGTTACAGACTTTGAGTATTTGTAATAAGCTTAACTATACATAATCTTTTACAATTTTTAGGACAATAATTAGTATGCATTAATTGAATTCGTTTTTATCTTTTTCATGAGTTTAATTAAAAACTTTCACACACAAATTCAAGTATTCAATTGTTTTCATAATTAAGCATGAAATGAGATAGATGATTTCGAATGTGTTGTACTGGTTTATTTGTAGGGGGTAGGTATTGTTTGTTACTTCCTGAAATGTTCACAAATTTTCTAGGCACTTGAAAAGCATGAAACATGTGATTCGTAGTAGTGACCTTGATTGCTGCCTCAAGGTAAAATACTAATAATAGCCATGATGTAACTATTGGAGGCCAGTTTTATTATCGAGATTCTTAGCCTTAGAATGCCTGAGGTGGCCTCGGGTTGAGCAATATTGGTGCCTTTGAGGGGGTTGTGGTGGCGGCTACCTCTTCGTGGTCCCGCTAGAAACGTGGCGGTGGATACATCGCAGCGGCTAAAGTCGTTCCGATCGCTAAGGATACCGTGCCTTGCATGGTCCGGATAATTGGCACGCTCATGGTCGCAAGGCTGTGGATGCGTCTGACCAGTCTGGGGGATTAAGACTGAACGATTCTAGGTCCGAATCCCGTCCTTCAAGCGTAGGTAAATTCTCGAAAGGGATGTAGTAGGATGATCGAGGGCGGCCCTGGACCCTACGTTCGGGGAAGCAGCCGCAGACATCCTGGACTACTGACGCCGACCCTATGTGGTTGTCCCCTACATGCTGCACCCGATGTAGTGTGTGAACTGGCGTCGAGGCCCCTTAAACAAGGGTCTCAAGTTGGGTTCCGGTGCTTTAGTGCTGAAAAGGGTACTGAACACCAATGATGTCTGCCCACTTCTGTGGGATGAACCCTGCTTGGCTGAGCGCTTGCGTTTGGTCGAGTCCATGACATCTTCCTCATGGAAGGGTGTACGTTCTAGCTGACCTTGTGGGACAAACTCGATCTTTAGCTTCATGCGGGGTAAGATGGGCCTCGATCGATTGTATCAACGCAAGGCAGTTGGAGGCCAGACGGTTGGAATGGCTGCTGGTTAGTGCACTGCTTGGGTGGCTCGGTAACCTGCTACGGGGTCCCTTGTCCGGAAGGATAAGCCCGCCTTGCCGCCCTCGCCGATTGGGGATTGTGGGCTGTGGTTTGGTTGGTGGGATTTCTTGATTCACAGGTGCCCGTGCAGGGGCCACTGCTCGTGTGCGTGCTTTTTGGATGTCCGACTTGTCTGCAGACCAAACCGGACAACATGTATATACCCGAAAGGGGCAGGGGTCAGTACTGTTGGCAACAGTGAGTATCCTTGCTCTGTATATCAACGCAGCGATGTGCATGTGCAGCAGGCATGTTGGTTGACCATGAATAGAGATTCTTTTCAGAAGTTCTTGATTTGTTAACCCAATATTTGCATGATCTTATCACTCACTCAGTGTCAATCAAAAGTTAGGCGATGAGTTGAATTTCAACATTTTCATAGTTGAAGTTTCTATACTATAACGTCATCATACGAAGAGAGTACAGGATCTCTGCAGATGCTGGATATCTGAAAAGATCATTTCTACCGAAGTTACACATCAGCATAGGTGAAGATGTGAATTTATCATCGAACCTTAGTCTTATTTTCCCCCAGTCAATAATTCTAGTGTGATAAGGTATAAACAAAACAAGTTTCTGGCCATCTTGGATTGATTGGATCATTAAGGTAAGGTAGTCTGTTAGGCCTGCACATAAACACGTCAACTTCATATACTTGAACTATAATACGAGTTTACATAGTCGGAAAACGAGAGCGAGGATCGAGGATCCGGTGAAACGACATGCTACTCAAATTCGATTATCCCAACCCCCCATATTGAGTAAAAAATAAGACTTGAATGTGAAGTAGAACCTGTATTCTACAAACATCCAGAAAGTACGAGGTCCGAATCCAGAAGAGAATCAGGATCTCGGACTAGGGATCCGGAAACGGGTCCTAGTCATAAAACGTTACAGATAATGCTTATTTATACATTTTGGTTGAATGAGAAACATCACTGAAATCTGTAACAGTTAGGACGACCAATAGGAAGTAACATTTGAAGTGACATTGATAGTCAGGACAACCAATAAGAAACAACATTGCACCACCTTTTCCAAGCAGTAGAAATCAGACAAGAGATTGAAACCATGTAATTTTTTCCCGTACATTAAAGCTATCAAAATATATGTTTAACTCAGAGAATCACAACTTACTGACATACAATTAAACTTTGACAAAAAAGTCATTTTCTTATTTCGAAGTATGTTAAGATTTGTAGTTTGAGTGCTAGAAGTTTGGGT